GAATTCAATCAATAATGATAAATTGAAGTATTAATTATTTAATTAACTAATAATTAATAGTTTGTTATTTATTTTGGTCATATGTTATTTGTTTTTGGCCGGTTTAATTGTAAAATTAATTTTTGTTTTTTTGGCCAATATTAATTTTTCAGTTCATGCAATTCAAGTTTTATTTTCTTAAAACTAATTCTTTTATCATATTATCTATTAATGTAACACTCGAGTTCGAAATAATTTAATGTTAATAAAAAAAATATTAAAAATAATTTTATTGCTATTTTTATGTAAATTTTGAAAAAGATGGATTTTGGGATGAGTTTGAAATCAATTTTAAAAAAATAAGATGAAACTGTAAATAAAGGGGAGTGTGTTTGAAAGAAAAATTTAAAAATAGAAGGTCAAATCGTAAAAGGATGAAATACGAACACGTGGGACGAGCACATCAAGAGCAACAACTAGTCAGAATGCGCTGCGTGGCGGACACGCTAACACTGGTTTCACACAAGAGGCCACGCAAGCGATTCACGTGTTAGCGAATCTAACGATCCAGATCGCATCCCGCGCACACAGACGACCTAGATGTGTTTCCTCTTCAGACACGATCGAACAACTGAATTTGATTAGATCGTGCGATTCAAATTAATTTATCAAATAAGAGAGATCCAACGACTGCGGATGAGTCACATCGCCTCGAACGGACAACCCAAATTTAATGAAAAAAAATATTTAAATTCCTATTCGCAGGGAACCAAAACCTTTGTCGATAGAAGGGTGATTGGAAAAGAAAAAGAAGGGCAGCTGGAAAGTGAACCAGACGCTGGAAAAAAAGACAAGCCACCGTCGCTGCCGCACTAGAGCCACCCACAATGCCAAAAAGGTAAGATTTTCAATTTCTTCGCTCGAAATTTAATCTCGAACCTCCCTATGCCCATATCGGAGCCGAAATGCCGACAGGTGAGTCAAAAAATACGAGCGAAGCTCGGTCAAGCGACCACGGTTGAAACCTAAAATCTCCTCAAATAAGCCCCTTCACGTTTTTCGTTTCCTGTTTCCCTCGATTTTCTGACCATCGTGATCCTTGTTTTCTTTGGGTACAAGTTAGTTGAATAAACATCCCGACCACAAAGGAGGAACGACGAAGCCGCCGCACTCGGAGACCTTTCCGTCGGTAAGGTTTCAAATTTTCTTTTTTCTGGCCAACAAATACCCCCTAACTTTCTTTTTTGCACCTTTTGATACAAAATCGGCCAAAATCGACCGAAAACAGCCAAACTAAGAGAAACTACCATCGTCAAAGCACGGTGTCGTCGTCGTGACGAAACCCTAAATTAGTCGAAAAAGTTTAAAAATGCTTATTTTGTCCTTTTTATGGTATTTTTTGATACGTGATGCATATTTTTAATTTCTGCAGGAAAAATCCAGAAAACTCGAGAATCATCAGGAGGCGTAATGAAAAGTACGGTATTTCAGACATCGATCTGGAGTAAGAATCCCTCGCCATTTCTTTCCATTATGGTAAACTGAAGTTTAATAATCAATAATGTTGTGTTTTGTGAAAATTAGAAAACTCTTAAATCAATTACAGATCACCAGAAGAGCCGATAACTGATCAGTATAAAGTTACCTATTTTGTCGATATTGTTTATCTATTGGTAGGATATATTTGTTGGTTTGCCGTGTGCACTTTTATTTATAGATTTATTACCCTCTTTGTATTAATTGCCTAATTGTTTCTCTTATTTTTCTATTGATTGAAATAAATATCCTAATCGTATTTTCTTGATTTATAGGTTGTTTATTTATATATCTTACTGTTGATTGGTAAAAAAATGAGATGTGAATATGTGATTTGTGATTAGTTAATGATGTGAATCTATGTATGAAAGACTTATCGAATTCCCTGAGAAAGATTGTACAAATTCGGTACATAGAAAAAACTCTACCGTGGACATTACCTCAGTTGAACAGGGCTGAGAAGTCCTATATCGGAAGGGGTCAGGAGATATAATTCACCATCATATCAGATGGAGTATTGAGACAATAGTATGTTTGACGCCCATTACCGGATAGAGTATCAAGACAACCAGTTAATCAATAAATTATATATTAGGTTCACACATAGGGAGATATCTCTATAGACTCACAAATGTACTGGTAGATAGGTAAGTTTGTTGTTATTAGTCATTTGAATATGTAATCAACATACTATTCGAATTATTGTCTTCATATAACGATTTTGGAAACTCATAAAAATAAATATGAAATAATATTTTTTTAAATTAAATGAACGTATTGAAAAATAAACAAAGGTTTATTTGGTTGTTTAGTGATTTTTTACCAACATTTAGTTTTTCATATCGATGTTAAGTGTGATATTCTTACTGGGGTAATGTAGTTTATTTTTTTTATTTAACTATTTCAGATCAGAATGACCAAATCCAGATTCTGAACAACATGAGGGTTGCGAATAAAAGTTACTTCCCAAACCCCATCAGAGTTGTCCAACAAAAGTTATGTAACGGCCCCGGAAATTTAAAAATTAAAAATATCAAATGCGGAAGCGAAGTCAAAAATTGGATTAACATCCCTTACACTAAAACAAAAAACGTGCTCACAAAATATAAAAGATCAAACTACCTAAAGGAGAAACTTGAAAGTAAAAGCTACGAATATGACTATGGAGTCTTTAGGCGTCCTCTTCGTCGTCCTCCTGCGGAACCGGTTCGGGAACGATGTCTTCCTGATATGAAATGATTAAATAAGGAATGAGCTACACTAGCCCAGTAAAGACATCACGATATCTCACCGTCACGGACGTAAAGGTGGGTAGAAAACACAAAAAGACCAATGGAGCATAATTTACAACAAATTCTTTTATCAATAATAAATCCTTCACCATCCACTTAGCTCGGTGAAATTCATAAAACAGTATACGAAAGCAATAACAATATCATCATCATGAAATCATATATGAACTGTATAATATAGTACTTATCAAGCCTTTTGTAATTCAATCGTTACACAACATATTTTCCTCATTTACCAGCCCACTAGTATCCATGGGGATCCATAGGGGTCTCGCTATCCGTTAACCCTTAACACTTGAAATCAGATTCCAGGGCCGTCCCCATACCCCGTCCGGTATGGGGGCCAAAACTATAAACCTCATTACCCCGTCCGGTATGAGGGTGAAACGGGCCGTCCCCATACCCCGTCCGGTATGAGTGCCAAAACACATAAGATCTCCATACCCCGTCCGGTATGGGAGACCACAATCCCGGTAGGGTTCCCTACGGACCCGGTCCGTCCACCATCTCTTAGGATATCTAGTCAGGCTGATCGCATTATACAATTACCGATTTACATAATCTTTCATTCTCTTTTCCCTCAGTCAGCATCATCAATCCACATACAAATAAGCAAAGTGGTAATTTATGCCAAACAGACAACATACAGCATCAATATCCCAATTATTCAATCCATAATCAGTAAAACAGTAAAATATGCACACGAAAGTATAAAATACAAATCATCGAGCATCATGCTGCAGTTAAAACTGTAAAACATGCCAAATAACAGTTAACCGACAAATACACTAGACTTGGGCTCTATTAGCGACCTTAAGCAATTTCACACATTCGTTGATTCATGAAATACCGTTTTATCATTGTTAAACTTTAATACCGTGATAGGAAATAGGGTGAGGGGTCCTTACACGTTTCGGGGTCTGAACACGGCTTCACAGTGCGCTACAGGCTGTCCCTAATTTTTCCTGAATTTTTTCCGGGGAACTGAAACGCACTACTGGTACCTGCACGTGTTCCAAAAAATCCCAAATTAGGCTCAGGGCCCCTTTTTGGCCAATATTGCAATTCTGGCACGGCGGCTCCGCCGTGCTCCGGCGACGGCACCGCCGCTGGCGGCGGCGATTCGCCTTGGTTTGGCCGTTTTCGACCGTTTCCGGTCGAATTCGGCCACACTTGCATCGATCCTTGCGATTAAACAACTCTAGGGCCCTCGGGGGGCCAAAAAATTACGGAAAACCGAAGCTTACTGGCGACGGTGCTCTCGGGTGCGGCGGCTCTCCGGTGAAGTTCGTGTTTTGGTGATTCGGCTCCGATCAACTTGTAGAGAAAAGAATGGTAATTACAGTGATATAAAAATTGTATTAAATGGAGGTCGGGAAGGGCCTCATCGGAGGCAAAAATCGAGGAGGGGCGCGACGGCGGCGCTGGGTTTCGGCCGTGTTTTCCGGCAGTTTGGCCGGAATTTTGGTTCCGATTTGGCCACAGGAAAAATCAACGTGGAAAAACGAGTTGGGGGTATGAAATTTACCTCGATCGGCGGTCGGAAATCTCTCCGGTGCGGCAGCGGGTGGCGGCAGCCGGCTTCTGGTTCGTCTTCTCTGGCAAGGGCAGGCGGTTAGGGTTTTGTGGTCTGGTGTGGGGGTCTTATTTATACCCTTTTGCCTTTTGATCTCAGCCGTCCATTTTGATTTAATCTGGACCGTCCGATCGCGCATACGCGGATTGCCAACGTGACCCGTCCCAGATCGACGTGGTCTTGCCACGTGACAGGTCCCGATTGGCCGGGACTGCTGACTGGGTCTGCTGACGTGGCTGCTGACGTGGCTGCTGACGTGACCTCTTTTTTTTTTTTCTTCTTCTTCAATTTCCCCGGGCCATACAAGTTAACCCTATAAGATTTTATTTCGCTTTATTTTAATTATTTATTCTATTATTTTGAACTTCTATAAAAATACATTATCGTAACCACATTAGATATCTTGATTTACTGTATAATAAATGTAAACCCAAAATTTTAAATTACTTTCGTTTATGGTTAATATAATTTGATATTTTTATTTTCCTAATTATAAACCCTTACAATTAAACTAATATATGTAAATATGTTATGAGTGTATGACCCTAATAACATAATTGCTATATATATTAATATGCTATATTTGAAATTTTAGTTAAATTTCAAAAAATTAAAATGGATATACTAAGAACTTTCTCTTTTGTATTTGCTATATCTATGTGTCAATCCATAGAAATAATACTTAAAATTATATTTATGCAAGTTTTAGAATTTTTGACATTTCCAACATCTTCAAATCATAACCAAATTTAAATAGTTTATACCTCGCAAATATTTACTTACAGTTCAATTTGCAAACAAAAAAAAAATTCAAATGAACATGTTATTAACATAATTGATTTAATATAATTGATGACTTATATCACTAATATATTATTTGAGTTGCGGTTATTAAATTGAATTAAATTTTAATGAATTTATTATATTTTTAAATAAAATAAATATTTTATATAAATTATATATTTTTTTAATTGTAGCAGTCATAAATAAATTAAAAAACTCCACATAACATTTTTTTTGGTAAAAAAAAGAATTGATTTGTATGTTGATATTTTTTTTTTATTTTACACGAACAAATACGTATTTACGCATGCAAATTGAGTACGAACAAAATAATGAAAATTGCATCATTTAATTTGAAAATTTTTATAGTTAATTGCCAATTGACAAAATTGTATAAATTTAAAACTAAATTATAAATAAAAAATTTATGACATAATCATAAGATAAATAACTAATTTAAAGAGAATTAAATGAGAATCTTGTTGTTACTTTATATGTTAACCAAATATAAATTTCAACATCAGATTGAGCTCAATTTGAATGGACCGACATTGCCCCAACCCGACCCGACCCGACCCGATTGCAGACAAGGCTAAATTTCAAACCGAACCGAATTCTCCTGTCGCTAGTTTAACATGTAAAGAGGCGTAAGGAACCGGGCCGGATTCTGCGCCAGTGGATGGGGCCCACTGTTTTTCAACAACGTTATAATCGGATAAATTACATTCTGAAGAGAGACGACGGGTCAGGAGTCTTCTACTATTAAATAAATAAATTAATTTAGAGATTTTTATTAGATGATTAACCACACGCACCCCCCACCCCCTCCTCTACTGTGTAAAAGATCTTTTGTTTTTTTTCTCTCTCTCTCCCTCTCTCTCCCCCCCCCTCTCTCTCTCTCTCTGTGTTAGTTTTGCGCCTATAAAACTCGAGTATCGGCCGTTGCAAGTTTCACTTCTCAGTCCTAGGGGCATGAGAAAATGGAAGAGAAACATCAATGAGAGGGACCTACAGGAACCAGGTCGGTTTCATGATCAACACCATGACTTAAGTCTGAACCCTAAGATGTTTTCCCCCAAATGATTCCCGCAAAACAAGATAAATTGAAGTTGACTAACGGAAAGGAGGTGAAGACGAGGACGAGGAGGTTACGGAAGTCCCCGCGAGAACTTTTTGCTGCTTTGAAACCCTAGAGAACAAACTTGCTAGGGTTTTTCGTTAAGTTACTTGTAAAGAAAAGGTGGAGGCCTCTTGCTGTGAAGTTATACGAGATGAGTCCAATTGCGAATTTCGACGTTCATTCTCGTCATCTCATTGAGCCCGATATCTGTACTATCTCCTTCTTTTATTTCTGGTTATATCTCTGTGTATTTGCTGATTTCATGAGGGAAAATTGAAAGAGAATTTGGTTGAGCTCATTTTTGGTTTATTTTGGTTTCCATAAACTTCGTAGCTAATACATGAGGCTTAGAACATAGTTTTTTGGTTTGTAATTTGTTTGTGATTCGTTTTTATCTGCTGCATCTTGGAACAGCTATTCAGACGAGGCTACAAATGGCAATGGAGGTTAGGGACAGTCTCGAGATTGCCCACACTGCCGAGTACTTGAATTTTTAAGATGTTATTTCCAGGCGTTCTCGGTAGTTCTTTTACAAATTACAAAACCTCAGTTCACTGATAGTCCGGAGCACAAGTTGCGGAATATCGTGGTGGAGATTCTCAATCGTCTCCCTCATAGTGAGGTTCTTCGTCCTTTTGTTCAGGATCTCTTGAAGGTTGCAATGCAAGTACTCACCACGGATAATGAAGAAAATGGCTTGATTTGTATTCGCATAATTTTTGACCTACTAAGGAATTTCAGGCCGACGTTAGAGACTGAGGTACAGCCTTTCCTAGACTTCGTGTGCAAGATTTACCAGAACTTCAGGTTGACTGTTAGCCATTTCTTTGAAAATGCGGCGGCTGGTGGGGAAGATGTTAAGCCCATGGATACTTCTTCTGATCAAGCCCTTGCTGGTACTACGTATGCTGGGTCTGGGCAACTTAACCCGAGTACCCGATCATTCAAGATAGTAACTGAGAGTCCTCTTGTAGTCATGTTTCTATTCCAATTATACGGGCGTCTTGTTCAGACTAATATTCCTCACTTGTTGCCTTTAATGGTCGCTGCTATTTCTGTCCCGGGTCCCGAAAAGGTTCCCCCCCATTTGAAGACCCAATTTATTGAGCTGAAAGGTGCACAGGTTAAAGTAAGTGATTCTTATGCTGTCACTTGTTGTAATTATATCTTCGACAGTTTAGGATATGACTGAGGCTTGAGTTATTGAATATCGACATTGGTTTTAGCCTGGGATCTACTTTCGTCTGAATATGCATGTCCAACTATCTACCTTCACTTTTTTGAAATAATATTGTTGTGGATTTTGGTGTGGGAGCGGGTTTGTTTTATGGGCTCAATCATTACCTATATATATATGCTATCTTTAGAGTATTTGCTTAATATTTAATCATTGGTGAAAGATCTTGTGTTCCCTGCTATGGTGGCAAGGAGCTCTTTCCTATATGAAGTCATTTGAGAATAGAAATGTATCTTGGAATCTCATGGAGATACAAAACTTCGACTATGAATGCTTAAGGAGAGGTTAATGGTTTAATTCGAATATGATGATATGAAGTCATAAGCCTGGCAGAGGCATTTTTTCTCTGTTTCTTTTCATAAGTGGGCCTGAATAGTTGCTAAATCAAATTCTTAAATTTCGTCTTGGCTGATTAAAGTGTAAAATAAGTCATTTTTTGCTTATAAGAAAGCTGTAAGAGGTGCGTAGAAGAGGTTAAGATATCACGGGAATGTGTCCTATTGAAAGGTTGGTGCAGATCTAGAAAACCAATAATAATGAAGATATGGATAAGGTTTTATGTTATGTTTGCATCTGAAAAGAATAATCAAATCGGGCTGTGAGACCGTTAATGCTTGTTTTGTTAACATCCAATATAGTTGTTTTGTTAACATCTGAAATAATTGTTTACTGATTTCTTTGTCTATTATTTCAGACAGTATCTTTTTTGACATATTTGTTGAAGAGTTGTGCTGATTACATCAGGCCACATGAAGAAAGCATATGCAAAAGCATTGTGAATTTGCTTGTTACTTGTTCAGACTCTGTATCCATTAGAAAGGTGAAAATGTTAAGATTGGAGTTGTTTCTCTTAATGAGCAACTTTTAGTTCTGGTTTTTATTTGGTAATGTTATAATGCAGGAACTGTTAGTATCCTTGAAACACGTCCTTGGGACTGATTTTAAGAGGGGTTTATTTCCATTGATTGACACACTTTTGGAAGAAAGGTAACATATTTGCATACCACTTATTAAAGTTTGGGAAGTAAATAGTTGCATAGCCTTACTCCATTTGGTATTTTATGGCTTCTTTAGACAGAGTAGAAGAGTTTTTAAGGACATTTGGTCTCTTTTGATGGGGCTAGAAACGAGGTTACTCTTTTTGTGATAGAGATGATTTAGGAGATCTTATAGATATTTTGATTGGTCCTCTCTTGTAAATTTCTATCGTCTTTGAGGGGCAGTCCCTTTATTTTTAGTTTATGGGGGGTAGTATGGGATCCACGATAGGCAATAAAATTACGCATTTGATTGAGTATGCTACCAATGAATTTTTACTTCTTATTTTAGTATGTGCTTCTTGAGGAGTGCGGATGTAGGAGGGAAGTTTAAGTTTGATGCTAATGGCTAAAATATATTCCACTTCATATGATTGTAAATGATGTGGAATCCAGGACAATTTTGTGATCAAAAGCTCTGCATATAACATCAACATGCAGAAGACTTAAATTCCTAATTAAACTCTCTCTAGTTGACCCACACTCAACCTGTGAATGCAAACCAAGTAATTGAAAAATAAGAAAAGATGCTACAACTTACCCAATAAGTTGATTTGATTCCCCAACTCAATAAGACGGTCGAAGCAACTTCACTTAATGAACACTCACAATTAGCAGAAGTTAATGTGAAAATAATATGAAATTTTATTAATCTGATTTGAATTGTGTTTATAACCTACGGGTGAGCCTTTTATATAGGCTTTCCTGGGTAATTCTATTTAAAATCAAACCCTAGTTTAAATCAGATACTTAAGTTAACTTAATCTAAAATTTAATTAAAATAATAATTAAAAGACTTCAAAAATTAAATTGGATAGTGCCTTAGCCGCGCGGCCACATGTGCTGGTGGCACATGTCTGCATGTGCAGCTCATGCTGCGGGTCCCCTTGGGCTCTAGGACTTATCTTGGACTTCTCTTGGGTCTCCAAAGGCCGAACTTCCCTTAGACCTCCCATGAGCACTCGGGTTGGGCCATTTAATTGGATTTTGGATCGGCCTCTTGGAGTTAAGACCAAGATCCCTTGAATCTTGTCTTGGCTTTCATTGGGATGGATTTCTTTGGCCTTCTTGGGTGGATATGGGCTTGAACCGGAAGAGGAGACACTTTTGGGCCGTCAAACAGGGCCCTCTTCAAGGAGGACTCGTGGGAATCCTTGTAGGGGCAAGCTCCTTCTATCCAGCAGGTAAAACCCCCCTCCCATGGGCGCGAGCATTTCTTGAGTTGCGTCTGTGCGCGGGTGTTGTGCCCGCTGCTATGTATGCGCACGCGCGGGGCATGGTGTGCCGGGTGCTTGCGGGTGTCATCCCGCGGGAATCCTGATTATCATGGGATTCCTACTTCTTGCGGGACTCTTTCGTCGGGACTTGTTTAGGTTTATCCGGGATCATATCAGTAAATCAAATAAAAAGCTATTCTATCAATCAATTGTTACATCACCTAGTACTAGTGAGGTGACAGCTAGTTTCGGTGTGCTGGAGGATATCATTATTGCCAAATCTAATGCTTATATTGCATTTGTGGATAAAAGAGTAACTGAATGAACGTTGAATGAGAAAGTGCCTGAAGGTTAACAAGTGGCTGAAGATTTATTCCATAGGGCTTATTCAATTCAATTATACCATATAGTCCTTTAAAAGATATTCTGGGTAAGT